CATTGGCAACTCAGCGTCGACGACTTGGACAGTGAAAGCCAGCTGGACTGCAACTGCGAATGGACCTACGATGGATGATGAGTCCTTCCTGCAAATCTACAAGAGCACAGGTCCCTCGTCAACATTTCGCATGGGCCATTAACCTGCCAGATGTGGGGTGCGGGGAGTGTAGTGTTCCAATCTATTGGCTTCATATGTTATGCCCGGCACTAGAACGACTGCCTTTGAATGGGCATCGACAAAACATCAAGGTTGCCAAAAACACTAGAAGACATTTCGTGTAGAAGTAGAGAGGGAAAATACAATATATATATTATACAGAGAATCAAGGCTATTACTCAAGTTATTAGGAACCTTGTAGAATGTAGGCAAAATAGCCGAATATTTGCAAACCAGAATATTGCCTTATTAGCAAATATACTCGAAATGGACCCTTAATCAAAAGGTAGTGCCATGCAATCTGCTAGGAATACAATAGATTAATAAATTTGTTGATTCCACATGGAATTACTTTTAAAAATTTTAAAGCTGTCTTATCTAGAAAAACGCATATAATATCTTTACGCTATCAGACTTTTCGAATTAGCTTTGTTTTTCTATCGAGTTTGTCTGCTGTTAAAGCTACCACTGGTTACACGTTCTGAAAGTTTTAATCATTATAATCAATTTGGACCCGATAATGTGTTTATTTAAAGTGAAGATTAGTTTGTTTAACCGACTGCAGCTAGCGCTTCGCAAATGATTTAGGTTTTATAACATTTTACTCATTTGTTCTTATAAAACATTCGATAGTCACCTCGTACCAGTAGTCATCGTGTTCACATCAAAAAATATGTAAATCCTGTTGGCATTAATAAGTTTTATAGTTATATTATGTGGAATCTCTTCATAGGCCACATCAGTAGGCGGCTAGATTTATGTCAGAGAAGCTGTCGAAAATAAACAGCGTGCACTCAGTGCACATATTTTTACACACCAAATGCCTTTATAAACTTTTACCTGAATATTAGATTTTAGTACTAACTGGCTTAAGTTGCGGCTACGAAATCCGTTTAAAATTGTGGAAGGACAAAATGGCCTTGATTCAATAATATTCCTAAGGTCAAAAAGACAAAAGCTAAAGCTAAAATGAAAAAACAGCAAACGCAACATGTGTTTTGAGAATCTAGGGCAGTTTGGCAAAATGGGTAATGTCACTTGGTGTCACAATCAGTTGTAAAAGAGTTAAGAAATTTTTAATGTACAGCGAATACTTCAACATAGCGTAAAGAAAACAAGCAATAATAAAGAAAACCCAGTAATAAAAAAAAACAGGCATTGTCCCAAAATGGGTTTTGACCTTGCTCGAGTTTACCACGCTGGCCACGCCGCTCATTATACACTGCACCTCATTCGTGCCCGTATCTGGTTGGCTGCCTATCTTCCTCGCATGCCATTGCAACACAGAGAAACAGAAGAGTGGCTAAAGCCAGTGTCCAATATTTCTGTGGCCACAGACGTCGCCACACTGCCTCCCCGACAATAGCGAAGCTGTCCTCAGCTTCTGGCTCGGTTCACCCTACTGTTCATGATGGTTAAAATGTCCAGTTCGACACTCCCCGCACCACACATCTGGCAGGATAGTGGCCCATGCGAAATGTTGACGAAGGACCTGTGCTCTTGTAGATTTGCAGGAAGGACTCATCATCCATCGTAGGTCCATTCGCAGTTGCAGTCCAGCTGGCTTT